GCTGATTTATTATTGTATTTGGACTAACTATTGAAGGATGTAGTTGTCCATTTTGGCCCCAGATTATTGACTCAATGAGTTCCTCAGTTTCCTGATTAAATTCGGTTAATATTAAATTGAAAAATATTAAATGTTGTGTTAATGTCTGCGAAATATTTATCGTTTGTATATTCTGAATGCTATTATTAAAGTCACATATCAACTGGTCTAACGTTGTTTTTAATTTTATGGTATTCTCGTTTATTGTTTTAGTTATGTTGTTAAAATTATTTAGTGTTGAGTGAACTATTCTTGTTTGAATATTAATTAGGTCTAATGTTTTTTTTATTTTGTCCTGAGTGAGATTTTATCTTTTCATCAATTTCGATTAAATCGTCCTCGTTTAATATTCCAAAGGCCCATTTTTGAAAAGAACCTATTACATTAACTAAACCTCTTTTGGCTATTCTATGTTTTTTTAAGATTATTATAAGTATTAAATCTTTTATTTAGTTGTGCAATAGTGTTGTTTATCAGACCACTAAACTGTTGACAAATTTCAGAAACGTTTCCTATGGATTTAGCTCTACAAAATGTCATTGTTTTATTATTTATTTCCATTAAATCATTATATTTAATTTCATAGTTTGTGGTGTTAACGAGAGTTATTAATTTAAAAGTATCTGTGGTTAACTTAATTTTTGAAATGTACTCATAGTAAATTCCTGAATTTTCTATTTTATGATCCGTGTATTTATTAATGCCAGTTGTTTCTACCATGAAAAGTATTAAAGAAATAAAAATCATTCTCATGAAGTTGGAAAACATGTTTACTTTGTGTAATTACGTTATTTTTATGAAAGTGGGTTTCTTTTTTTTATTTTTTATTTTAATTTTTTAATTTTTTATATAATACAGTATTTCCGAAACCTCTGGTATGTAGTCTAAAATTGAGCTTAATTCAGTGCACAAGGATGATCTATCTTCCTTATCTTGTAAATAATTATTTAAGTAGTTGATTATGTTATTTGTAAAAATTTCCAGTTGATTTATATTAAATGGTCTTGAAAGTTGGTAATTGGCTTTTGTTATGTGATCTGTTAAGCAAAATGCTTCTAATTCCTCATTAGTGGAATGTTGTGAATTAGTTATTATGTTATCTAATTTAATAATTAATTGATTTTCTCTTTGAAATGAATCCATGAAATTCTAATTTATATTATAGAAATGTGTCTATGGTTTTGTTAAAATTTAAATATTGTAAACTACTTAAAGTTTTTTGTGAAGGCTACCTTTGTAATAAAATTATATGATTGATGTACGATGTTTTAATACTCACAGTTTTCTTCTTGTATTAAGTATTTGCAATAAAATGTTATATTACTATAAGAATGAATGAAATTTAACATACAATTTTAAATATTTTTTTTTTATAAGATATTCACATACTGAAAATGTAAGAACAAGTGTTCGATTGACGGTTGTCGTGAGACTAATCTGTATATGTAATATGCAATAATACAATATAGGTATAATAATGAAATCGTCTTATTTTATGCTGATATCGGGTTTCTTTTCTTTTTTTTTTATGAATAATAATGCGTACTATGCGTTGGGTGTCTTTTGGCGATAAATTTTTTTATTTGTTGTACATGAATTGGCACATCTACTAATTTACCATTCTTAGGTAATTTTATTAAATATGAATTTGTATTTAATTTCTTTATTATAGGATATGGTCCATCATATCTATCGGAAAATTCATGTTTACGTACTGGTATTTTTACTAAGACCTGTTCGCCTACTTTAAAATCTATGTCTGATTTATTTTTATCTATATTTATTTTTTGATTCTCAAAAGCTTTTTTTAATATCTCCGGTATAGTGTCACGAACTCTCTGTAATTTATTTAATTCTTCGATAACTGAGTGCTCTAATGAATTAGGGATTACTGCAATGTCAAAAATTGAACTAGGTTCGTAACCGTGAAGTAAATAAAATGGAGAATATCCTGTCGAATAATTTATTGCTGAATTATATGCGTGTAATACTATTTTTAATACATCGGACCATTTTTCATTATCTTGCATGTACGGGGATATCGGTTGATATCATATCAACTATTACCTGATTTTGTTTTTCTACCCCTCCTTGACTTGTTGGTCTATATGCAATAACTTCTGTTTTCTTAATATTTAAAATAGTTAACATGTCGGAAATTACTTTGGCAGTGAAATGGGTACCATTGTCTGATCTAACTACTTTCATAGCTCCATAAGACAGAATTAAATCTAATAAAAATGCGGTTGTAGTTTTAGCATCTGCATTTCTACAAGCTTTTGCTACGCAATATTTTGTTACTCTACAGGTCGCTACTAATATATATTTGAATCCTCTCGAAATCATTAAGGGACCAACATAATCGATTGTTACATCCGAAAAGGGTATTCCACTTTCTACTGGGTACGTACGCATTTTTCTTACCTGTGCTGATTTATCAGGTTTACGTTTCTGACAATGAATACAGGAAGTAACATATGCTTTTATTTGTTTGTGCATCAACGGCCAATGGTATCTAGTTCTAATTTTATTATAAACTTTGTGAACTCCTAAGTGTGCTCCTGACATTTTATTATCATGAAAATGATTTATTACTTCTTTGGAAAGTACTATTGGAGTCGCTAGTACTAACTTAGGAACGCCTTTAATTATTTGTTTATAGTAAATCAATCCGTTTTTATTATGTAAAATATAAGATTTTGCGTTTTTTTGCCATTTTATATCAATTAATTCGGGGTTTTCTAAAGCAGTTATTATATTTTTTAAATAATTGTCCTGTGCTTGCAGGATTTTTATATTAACTGGTTCAATTAACGAAACAATATTTGTATTCGGATCATGTATTGCGACACTTATTTTGATATCCGTGTCATTAAAAATAAATTTTATCATATTAGAAATTATTCGCCAATTTAATTTGTCTAAACCACACGCAATTCGTGGCATAGCTAAATTATTTAATTTATGCTTAATGCAAAATTCCTTTAATTTTTTTAAAATTTCAAAAAGCATTTCATAAGTAGGTTTTTCGTGATATTTTGTTTTAGTTATTAAATAAATTATATATTGATTTTTAAATTTAAGGAATAAGATGTCCCCTTTTTTGTGTTTTTAATTTGTTTATTTTGCCGTAATTTTGTTTAAACTTTAGTGCAATTCCTTTATTCATAGTTAGGTCTTCCGATACACAATGTACTAAATGATATGTGTTATTAAAAAAATCGTCAAATAAATCACATTCAATTTCTTTAAAATTTAAATTAAATATGTCCCCAGTTGAGTTATTTTCTAGAAAAACCTTGTATTCAACTATATTATCTAATTTCAATGTCGGTTTTACTAAATTGACAGATATTTCGGAGTCGTTACCATAATTTGTTTGTGGTGTTATGATGTTGTATCGTGACAAAAAGTCTGCTGCCTGATTAAATATGCCTTTTTTATAAATTATTTTAAAATCAAAACCTATTAATTTAGTTCTTAACCTATTCAATATTATTGATTCAGATTTTATAGTTTGTAATTGTATTAAATTTTTATGGTCAGTCCATACAATAAAATGTCTACCATGGAGATACTGCCGAAAGTGTGTACATCCGAAATACAGTGCGGCCATTTCTAATTCTAGTGCAGAGTAATTGTTTTGAGAGGCATTTAATTTTTTTGAAGCATATGAGACGGGATGTATTTCTTTATTTTCATTTTGCTGTTGCAAAATAGCCCCCAAGCCTTTCTTTGAACCGTCGGTTACTAATATTATTTCTGCGTTATCGTCGAAATGAGCCAGTACCGGTTCATTGGTGAGCTTATCTTTTAAATCTTTAAACGCAGTTTCGTGTAAATTTGTTCAGTTTATTGGAGATTTTTTCGTTTTAAATTTTCCTTCAGTCAATTCTGTGAGTGGGTGTGCTACTGAAATTTGGGATGAATTTACGGAAATAATTTGCTAATCCAAGAAAACTACGAAGTTGTTTAATAGTAGTTGGAGAGGGAAATTGTTTTATTGCTAACAAGCCTTCTTGTGTGGGTTTTATCCCGTGACCATTAATAATGTTTCCTAGCAATTTTAGTTCGGTATATCCAAATTTACATTTTGATACTTTCAATTTTAATCTATATTTTAATAGTCGTTCAAACGTCATTTCAAGTGCATTTAAATGTTCCTCAAATGTTATACCGAAACATACACAGTCATCTAGATAGCAACAATTAATTCGATAATTTAATCCTGCCATAATTTTATTTATTACTTTTTGAAATTTTTGAGGTGCATTAGTTAAGCCAAAAGGTAAGCGAGTAAATTGGTAATGTCCCGCTGACGTTGAAAAACTCGTAATCTCTTTAGAATTTTCATGTAATTTTAATTGGTGAAAACCTGACATTGCGTCCAAACAAGAAAAATATTTGTTTCCTACCAGTGTGTCATAAATATTTTGTATGATGGGTAAAGGAAATGCTTCTTTATGAGTTTTTTCATTTACGCACCTATAATCTAAGACCATCCTATATTCTGAGGCAGTTTAATTTTTTATGCCTTGTAGCTGTCCTTTCGGTACGAGAAATACAGGTGATGGATATGGACTCAATGAATGTTCAATTATACCGGCTTCTAATAATTCCTTAATTTGTTTTTCGATTTCTTTAATTTCTGAAAGACTAAATTTAAAATTTCTCAAATTTACTGGTGTATTGTCCGTTAATTTTATTTCAATAGGCTCCGTATCTACTTCACCTAGATCCCATTTAGATTGTGAAAAAATATTTTTATATTTATTTAATAATTGTATTAATTCGCCTTTTTGCTGAGTTGTTAAGTCTGGGTTAATATCAAAATGTTCACACGTTATGTCTGGAGATATTTTTTCAAGTTTCTTTGAATTCACTATCGGGCGGTTATTATTATGCATAATATCAGAATTATTAGATATATTATAAATATTCTCGCCTCCCAATATGTCATTTCATTCGTAACGAGATTGTGTAATGCTGTGTCGTGATTTTAGTGATGGTATATCGTAGATAACAACGGAGTTTATAACATCGGTATTAATTTCGTTTGAAAGGACCCCCGGCGTCCAGTGATTTAAATTATAAAAAACAGATACATATTTTCTCCCAGGTTTATAATATGCTAACGCTGTGAAATTATTATCGCTAGTTAGTGATTCTTGTATTACTATCAAGTTTAAATTATAATGATTGGTGACAGCTGCTAAATATTCGGTTTCTAACCATATTGGAATTTTATATTTTGTTAATTTTAACAAGTCTGTGATTTGGTTGAAATTTACATTTATTTGTTCATTATTTAGAATTTTAACTAGCGCGTGTATACCACAATTACCATCCGATGGTACGTTCTCAAGCTTAACGAACTTTGAAGCTAAAGAAGTTATTGATTTATTTAGTGTTTCATAAGTATCATTTATTTTATTACTATTATCAATTTTATCTATTTCACATAGAGTTACATTGTTTATTTCGAAATATTTTTCTTTAATATTTTTATTATAATCCCCCCACTCATCATAAGGGTCATGAACTTGTTTAGCTAATTTTTTTAACAGTATAATATTATCATTTTGCTCGTTTAAAATTGAATTATTTACTTTGGTATTTCTAGTATTTACTTTGATTTTATTTTCTATAGTTTCTGTAGATTCTTTATGTTGCTTAAAACTATCGTCTACAATTTCACAACTATTTAAAATATCATTTTTAGCTCCAATTTTAAATTTTACTTTATTATTTATATTTTTGTACATAACTATTTCTTCATTAAAAAAATCTAATTGTACTCTATATTTACTCTAAAAATCTGTACCAAGTAACGCTGGTCCAGCAAGATTAGAAACTAATACAAACTGTATTGGGAAAATTAAATTGTGAAATAGTATATTAATATCTATTTTTCCTTCTACTTTTAGAATCGAGCCATAAGCTGTATGAACTCTAACATTTTTTGTATCGATAAAGGCATTTTTTATTTGAACTTGTTCGATGTTAATAACAGAAATAGTTGCACCTGAATCTAATATGAAAGGGGTTTCTTTATTATTTATAAATCCGACTACTTCTAATCTAATAGCTGGAATAGGTACCTCGTTAACATTCTCAGTACAGCTAGAAATCTGTTCAGCATTATTTTCATTTGAATTTTTTAGTGCGTCAAAATTAGGATTTTTCATAAAATTGTCAGGAGATAGCCTAATGTCTACCTCATGACTTACATGCATTTTTGATTATTAAATGTTTTTTTATTCGATGGATCATTATTTTGACCCGAGTAAGGGAAGGTGGTTGGTGTTTTCGGGTAAGTGATTTGATTGATTATGATTATTCATATTATTATCTGGTTTATAATGCTGATTTGAATAATTAAACTTTTTATTATCATAATTTTGGTGTAGTGAATTATAAAATTTACTTTTATTAACATTATTCATGGTATGTGGTTGTTGAAAATTATTATTATTTTTAAAACCTGTGTTACGATTTTGATTACCCGTGAACTGCCTGTTATTAAAATGTTGTTTACCATTAAAGTTTTCATTTGACTGGTAATAATTATTTCTATCAAATTTATTATTCTTAAAATTATTTGAGTCGTTAAAGTTTCTTTCTCTATTTGTATTATAATTCTGATATTTATTTTTATTATTGTTGTTATAATTATATTTTTTAAAATTATTGCGATTATTATTTGTATAGCCATTATTATTATATGATAATTGATTAGCAATAAAAGCATTTTGTTCTACCAGTTTTTGATTTAAAGATTCTATTTCTGCTTTAAGAGCATCAAAATGTTATTTCGTTCATTTACCGTTGCTCTTGCTGATTCTACCTTACGCAAATTTTTTTGTAAGTCCGAGAGTGTATTATTATTCATTAATGCGACTGGGTTATAAAAATCGGGTGGGAGCGCTTCCAATATTAAATCAATTTTTTCCGTGTCCGTCATTTTAGGGTTAACTTTATGGGCTAATAATTGAAAATCCGCTAGAAATTGCGAAACTGTTTCGGTTAATTTTAATTTTCTGTTTGTTAATTTTGCTTTAAGCATTCTGGTCCTCCCCGGTGAAATGAAATATTCCTTGAGTGCTAGTTCAAAATGACTCCATGTTGGTGTAGGATTATTTATGATAGAATTTTGATAGAATGCCTTTGCGCTTTTTTTGAGATATATTGGGACATACATTATTTTTTTATCATCAGACCACTCATTAGCCACAGATATCAAATTATAATTTTCAATAAATTCGTTGACACATTCGTCTGGTTCGCCACTATAAAATTCGGGTTTAAAAAAAAATGGTTTGGACATGTTGATTTTCTTGACATGTTTATGTTAAATAGGTAATATACAATAAGTATAATAATAAAGGTAATAAAAGATATAAGAACATGAAAGTATTTTAATATTTTGATATAATAAATAAATTATGAAAATTTAATTTTCTATTCTACTTATGGGACTTATTAAGAAGTACTATATATTATATTTAAGTACTAATTCTGTGGTGCTCGGGTAAAAGGTCTTAAGTACAAAAATTGCGAAAATGGGATTAAAATACATAAAATATTTAAAAAAAAATGCTCTTTTTTTGGGTAGAAAGAACTAAGTCCTATCCCTACCCAATGCGTCATAATACCAATGTGTAAAAAGCGCGTTTATAGAAAATGTTGGTCATAATGCATTAAATCACATAAGTCTTTATGCACAGTTAGAAAAAAATATATAAACAGTTTAAGTAGACTTAAACCTTTTAACACATATTTTAATTTTGACTTAATACTTTTAACCCCTCATTTTAATTTTATAAACGTGTCACCATAATAATTGAAATCAATAAATAATATTATTGTAATCAAGCTAATTGTTATCATTATCGAATATCATAACGTAAAATAATATCAAAGACATTATAAATTGTTACATTATCTAACATAATATTCAGATAATATGGTTGTTTATTTTTATAATGTTTTTATCATAGACATAATATGTATTACATTGTGGTGATTCCGACGCGTTATCACCACTTACGCTGGCGCGCCCTTTTTCGAATTACCATTTCCATTTTGTATAACCATTTTTACATTGTATTCGTCATGTGATTTATATTGTATTCGTTTTATTTATTGTCTCTGTGAATTTATTATAAAATGTTGTACCGTCTTTGGTCACGTGACGACCCGCCGCTCGACTTTTTCTCCCGCCTCGCGCGGCGACTTCGCCGTTACGCGCTCGAAGCCGCCGTCGCGCGCTACTCTCGTCACTCGCTTTTTCGCTCTCGACCTCTCAACTCGAGCAGCCCCACGTCTCGACGACTCGCCTTTTTTTATACTTACCCGTTTAACCGTCATATGTCATTTTTGTATATTAATTATTTTTGTGTTTAAATAATACACTTCGAACGTACGTCGAAGTTGTTGTTACGTTATTACCTACCTACCTACTTTAAAAACCTTCTGATTTTGGTAAATAAAACGTAAGTAATATCCGTTGCCGCACCCGAACCACGTTTCGGACCACAACAGTGGTAACGCACGGGTATTACCACAACATAATATCCAAGACGAAAAAAAAACGTCGTCATGATAATATTATTATTTTTGTTGTGCACTGTCGATCATTCTCGTAAGTCGTAATAACTAGTCGTCTACTTATTACCTATTAATGTTGTCTTTCAAATGACATCGAGGGCAGAACCAATAAACTGCTCAAGTTATGTGTTGTGGCGTCATCGTCTAATGGTCAGTATACAATAAAAATAAAGTATTATAATATGTATAAAATTATTTATTAAATATTTTTAACTTTTAGAGAATGAAGACTATAAATATGACACTTCTGACACATTGGTATATGTTGACTCTGAAGATTCCTACAAACCCATTGGTGATAATGTTTCTGAGTCTACTAGTTCATATGAAGAAATAGATATTGCACAGATTCGCGAAGATGAAACCTATGATGCATTTGTAAGTGTAATAAGAACTATATTTTCATATACATTATTCAACATTTAAATTAATAATATAATTTTTAATTTGTTTTTTTCTTTTGTAGAACACAACCGTTCCATTTGATAGTGACTTACATACTGGATTAGAAGAAGTTGACCAAGAAAATGTACCAGTAAGATATAAAAGAAAACGCAGAACAGGCATTAAAGGTAGATCTCGTAAAATAAGAAAGATCAGAAAAGAAAATCGTAACCTGGGTAAATCATATGTCACAGAATCTGGTAAACAAATAGCTGCTCGAAAATTCAAATCACTGGATGTGTGTAGACAAAAATGTAAAGAACGTTTTACTGATGTGGACAGACTTAATATATTTCACGAATATTGGCAGTTAGGGTCATCATCTAAACGAAGTGCATATATAAGTGGTCTAATAGTTTTAAAGGAAACTGACTGTCATAGAAAGAAAGTTTTAGACCAACAAAACCATAGAAATAGGAACTGGTCAAGAAAATATTATTTGCGTGTAAATGGTGCACTTGTACCCATTTGTGCTAAATGTTTTTTGTTAACATTTAATGAAAAACAGAAGTTTGTTTCTTTGGTTATTTCAAAAATGTTATTGAGTACTGGTGGCATTATTGAAGAAGACAAAAGAGGTAAAAATATTAAATATAACAAACATACACAGAAAACTCTTGATGAAGTTAAACAATTTATTCTATCTATTCCATCATACGAAAGCCATTATTCACGAAGACATTCTGAAAAACGGTATCTACACTCTTTCCATACAATATCAAGTTTATATCAAGAATACAAAGTAAAACATTTTAAACCTGTAGGACGTCCTACATTTGAACAAATATTTCATGAGTTAAATCTTTCAATTAAAGTGCCCAAATTAGATACATGTAATAAATGTGATACATTTAACATTCAAATAAATGGTACTGCTGAAGGCGAAGAAAGAGAAACTTTAATAAAAATCTCTTAAAGACCATCAAAATGAAACTGAACTCGCATATACTTCCAAAGCTTATGACAAAAATGAAGCCAAAGAAATTAAAGAAAAAAAAGTATTAACATTTGACATGCAACAGTGTCTTCCAACACCTAAACTAGAGACCAATGTGGTTTTCTACAAAAGACAACTGTGGGTGTATAATCTAACTGTACATGATTGTGATGATAATCAGGCATATTGTTATATGTGGAGTGAAGTGGATGGAGGTCGTGGAGCAAACCAAATAGCATCTTGTATAATAAAACATTTAAGTAATATAAGTTCTTCCGTCAAGCAAGTTACATTATATTCAGACACATGTGGAGGTCAGAATAAAAATTCACATATGATGGCCATGTACATGTCTTGTATTAAAAATCACGAAAACATAGAAATCATAGATCATACATTTTTAGTTGCTGGCCACACTCATTTGGAGTGTGACATAGATCATGCTTTAATAGAAAAAAAAAAATAGTAAAACACCGATTTATCATCCGCATGACTGGCTACAACTTGTAAGACAAACTGGCAAAAAAAAATCCATTTCAAGTAATTGAAATGACTATGAATGATTTTTTTAGTTTTTCAGAACTTTTAAAATCTGCATTAAATACAAAAAAGTTCAATGATAATGGAGAGAAGTTTGACGCGGCTACGGCGGTGTTGGGGTAGCGTCCGCGGTGAGCCGGTCGCAATGTGGTGGTGAGGAGTGTGGTAGATCGAGGTGACACTCACGAGATTACGACAAACAAATAATTTAACACCGGAATATGCGTAGAAGTCCACGGGGGATGTTTATTTGTCGGTACACAAAAATGGTTATTTTATTATACAAAATAATAAGTACGCTGTTATATGTAGCGTGGGTGTTTCCGTATGGACGGTTGACGTACGAGAGAGCGAATTGCCGGCGGCCGGTACTCGTATTACGCGACTTGCCTTCCCGTCCCGCCTTGTGCCTTTGTGGCGTGGTGGGAGAGTTGGCGATGTCGCGCTGTAGCCCGTGGTGGCGGTTGACAAAAGCGTAGACCGGCCGCTGCGGTACCTGTACTTTGTACTGGTTGCCGCTGCGTACCGTGTCATACTCCCCTGCCAAACCGCCACACGGGGTACACTTGTACTAGTGCCGGTGTGTCGTTACGGCGGTGGCTTGTACTACCTCTGGCTTCCGCTTGAAGGCCGTAGGTGGTGTTTATCCGTGTTTTGGGGACCCTACCGGAGTGTAGTACGCGGGGTCGTACTCCATCTCCGGCA